AATGTGAAGGAGGTAACCCACACCTACTGATTAACATCCGCGTAGCCACAAAACACTCTCCACCGTAGTCCGGTTCCTCCGACCCTAATGTAGATATAAAATTTTTGCGGGGATGCTTCTGGACAAGTGGAGCCATAATGTTTGAAGGTCCGGCGATCTGCGACCCCTTATAAGCCTGGACTGTATGATCTGACGACCACCTCGGTAGTATAGGGTTCCGAATGCGAAATGGGGATTTAAGACGATATAGAATATGCTGAATTATTATGGATTTCCTCGGTATTATAGGGTGCAACGAAGGGCAGATCGTGTATACTTGGCATTTGTTCCTCTACAGTATTTTCGCCATGCGTGACAGGGGCGGAGCGAGGAGAAGAAATTATGTCGTTAGGGACAACGGAAGAAGGCAGTACAGGAATTGGTTCTGATCCGGGCAACGGTTCAGCTGGTTTAGCCGATGCATTGCTTTACAGCATGTTTATAATTACCTTATACGTCGTGAGACTTTTCCTGTACTCGACCCTATTCTTCCGTTACTAGTATGTTTAATTTCGTATTCGGCCATCTCTTCTAGCTGGATTTCTAGGGTGACCGCGGCTGGATAGTTTTCGTGTTCCTGAACGAATAATTCCGGATAATGTGAAGAATCTCCCGCCACACGGCACACATACTCTTTCACGACCTACTGGAATACTATAGGGAGCAGCTTCGACTCTCTCCACGATGCATACAGAAGATTCTTCTGGTGCTTGCATGCAACATGGGGAAGCCGTAATCGCAGAGGAGTCGGCGCTAGGATCAAGGTCTTTTTCAGTCGGGGTTAGGGTGTAGTAAGAGTAGCGCCGTCAGGCTGGGTCTCTAATAAAGAAGAATTGTCATTTTTAACTACGCTGTCGGTAGCAATAGGGGCGTCCAATTCGCTTTCTAGTTAAACAGAATTATCCCTTTCAATAACGCCCTCGGTAGAAATAGGGGCTTTTGATTCGTTTGAGTTTGCGATTTCGCCGGCCACGGATGCGTAATAGAAAATGTCCTTCCACAAGAACAAGCAGACGAGTGCTCCTACTTCCCGATCTGTGGCTGTTCGACAACTTTCTGGAATTCTTCCTTGTGTCTACACAATCCTTGCATGGATCAATATACTTTACCGCAAAAAGGGCAGGGGTACTTATGATCAGGTATATCGTTGAATAAAGGGGTACCAGAGTCATCAGAACATCCGGCCTCTCTACGGCGTTTGAGGCTGGTGGCATGTTTAAAGGTTTTGCCACACCCACATTTGAAGTTAGGGGTCAATATCTCTTTCGCTAGGTTTATATGGCCTGGCAGAACTTCCCCAGATGGCGGTGGAATTTTGCACACTCTCCTATGGTTATTGTATGAAATTATGTTTTTGAATTCCCTCTTACAAAAACAAACTATTTTAGACGCCATAGCTCGAGAGTTACGAATCAATCGATTAAGATGATACAAAAAAAAATGACAAGAAAAAACAAAATATCTAAAATAAGCGAGTTAAAAACGAAGAATGAAACAATACTTATGCCTTAAAAGGCAAGTGTAAAGATAAAAACGGACAAGAACCAAGAAAACACGTTAAAATTCCAAAACGGAAAGTCAAAACGAACAAATTAAAATAAGGCGCTCTTTAATCTAAACTCAGATAAGTTGATAGTATATTTGATTAGTGATCTTGTTTTACAGATGAACCGGCAAGGTAACCAAAGCGAGAAGATAGTACCCGTAAACGCTGTAAAGGCTCCAGCAGAACCTGAAAGAAAAACCTCCCTTCCAACGAAATGTCGGAAGAAGGCTCTGAGGTACTCAGAGGTTTCAAGGCCGGCCCCGATTTGAACGATCTGAAGATGTTCGCAGGTGCGTATCGTCTATTTCAAAACTTTGTCCGTTCAAATCGGACCACTAATCGCCGAGTTTTGCAAAAATTGCAAGGGCGTCGCGGGCGTCTTCAACCAAAACAAATCAAAAATTTTCCAGAAAGCCGAAACTGCCGGAAAAACGCTAAGAGGCCTAGCACAGCGCGAGAAAACTGATGACAACACGTATACTTCCCTTAATAATAGATTTCCGGCGCCGCTGTCATTCACGACGTCCAAAAATAAGGGAAGAATATCTAAATTAATAATATTTTTTAATTCCAGACGCTCTGTGGACGCTTTCCCTAAAAGAGCAACAAAAAAAAAGTGAAAACATAACCCAGGCGATAGATTCTGAACCACCAAACAGTCCCAGGAAGACGTCTGCACATGGAGGAACAAAAATTCCCGGAAGGATAATATCTTCAGGAGAGCGCTATTAGTGTAGAATTCTTTAAATGTACCCAATGTTATTAATAAAGTACGAAGTAGCAAAAACCTAGATAATTTTTATCCCTGTTATCGCCTGATATACTCCAACACGCTGGTTTTTAATTATTCGAAGATTTTCCCGAACTCTTGTCAATTCAAAACTCAATTTCTCGGAAACCGTCCGTTGGATAGAAAAACGAAAATCACAGCGACAATCGTTGTCACGTGCCGCGTCTTTCAATACCCGTATAGGGCACAGATTTAAAAACTGGACCTAATTAATTCTCGGAGTGTCCCGTGCTTCTGTACCTTTAAAACTCGATATCTCGAGAACTAAAAGGCCGGGAACGAAAAGGAAAACACTCACGTGACCCTTGAGACGTGCCCCAACGATTAAGACCATTTTATCAAAATCAGACCCGAATCACAAATTCACACTTTGGAAATCGACGGAGCCGAGGTGAAACACGTCCGACCCCGCCGTATACCCGCGTCCGAGCGTCCGCGACCGCCGCTCCCGACCTAAGACACCACTTCCGATGGCATGAGGGTGTCCGCACAAGCCTAGGTCGACCAGACGTGTTTCTATTTCAGCGGCACTAGTCGGCCCAAGGCTTAGCACCGAGGCACGCCGCCCCATGCGTTATAGGCGAAATTCCAGACCGTTGTCCACCGTCCCAGCGGAATTTCGTCGCAACCTCCTCAATAACATCCAGTTTTGAATAATTGCGAGTATAATTAGTAAATATAAGATCATGTGTTAACTAACTATATAATAGGAGTAAGAGATATACGGTTCTAACTCAAATTGATTGCGATGATACAAATGTTAATTTAGAAACACGCCGCAGAAATCCACTTATTTAGGTTTTACTTCTTTATTCTAGTAACGACATTTAACGTGAGGATGATTTTTCCTAAGTTATTATTCACATTTTATAACTTCTCGTCCGACATTTTAAAATTATACCTTTGTAAATAAGTTTTCCTTGTTGATTGGCGTAGATTAAACCAGGCCGATGAAAAAAATTATTAGCGATATAATACTTAATAATTTATTAACAAACTCCTTAAAAAGGGTAGAAATATGGATGTGCTATATTTAGGCTACGGGTGATGGTAACAGGAGTTCTTCCGGTTGGTACCTGAAGGCGGAAGGGTTGAGAAGCGAGACAGAGAGAATCGGTTGATGTCAAAGCTCTTTCTGTTCCTTATTTTGATGTCACTTCAGTGATGCATCGTTACAAATTTTCTTGTCATTAGTATTGCAGTCTGTTTTGGAATTTTTTTATATTTTACTTCCCGTTTCGTAAGTAGAGTACCCGGACAGACGTGGCCGATATTACGAGACGATAGGGATGTTATCATCTGCATGTGGTGGATTTCGCTCGTTGAGTTGTGGTATGACGTAAGGTGTAAAAAGTGAAATGGGTAGTCACTTCGGCTAACGATCCTAACCCCATTGTTATGTTTATAAATTTGAGGTTCCAGTATAGTTGCTTGAAAGAGCATTAATTGGTATGTAGATTCACAAGATGTCATCCATGGATTTTTGTGAGTACTGTGATTTCAAAAGTTAATCAGTTGCTATCTCTTAGACTGTTCTTCCCACCTTGGGAGTAACCAGTTAGAGCTATTCACCTCTTTCAATCGTGACATATTATTGATATTCGACGACTTATCTGTGTACCTATCATTATTTTTTTAAATTGTATTGATGTTTGTGACTTGTTTAAACTCCATATTAATCTTAATACTTATTAAAATAAAAAAAATAGATTTTCTCTTCTGCACGATGAAGGTACTGCGTATCTGTGTACCAAAACACATACTAATAAATCATTTAACCTCTTTAAAGTTTTTTTTATTTTAATGTTAAGATTGATATCTATATTTGGGTTTGATGATTTTCACACCTCGTTAAGTAACAACTTATAAATACTCAACTTAAATAATGTAACTTCCAAATCGTCCGCCATTTTGTCGAGCTTTTGGAAAGGTAAAGATTGGGATTACAATAACAAATTCTATTGTATGTACGCATATTAAATTTTGCGTGTTGATGACGTCATGAGTTACTCGGTGTCATTCCAATTGAGACAACGTTATTCAAATTTTTCTTTCAGTTCTACAAACTTTGATTTAAAATTTTGTAATTACTTCTGCAGGAAAATCAACATATTTTACTTCCTTTTAGGTGTAAAGAAAATATTCATGCACTTCATCATTTATCCTGCAGTGAACTAGGTAAGTACTTTTGTTATTAAAAAAATCGAAATATCATTTTCGACGTAAGACTGTTACCTTATTATTCCTCTGTACTGGTTTTAAGAGTGCTCCAAAAAGGTCGTTACGTTTGTGTTTTTGTGGAAACCATAATATTATGGTGTGTGTGTGTGTGTGTGTGTGTTTATATTAGCCTTTTCGACATGCACGTGTGGCAATGAGCTTACCTGTTTGTTTTTCCATGTTTGCCCCTATATGTCCACTGTTCTGGGTACTCGAAGTTTAAGGTTATGTACCAGAGGGTTTTAATTGTCAATGACAGATATTGGCGGTTTTAGTTTGTGGGGTTAGGTGCGTTAATGTTGTTTTTAATTTTTAACTCTTTTTTAACTATCTTGGAACGAGATTTGGGTAAGAAGACGGCCAGTTCTCTTCCATAGCGTGATGAAATGGTTTTAGGTTGCCAAAATGTCAGCTCTGGAATATTGTGAAACGTTCGGATTATGTAGGAAGTCTTCATGGAAAAATGTTCACAAATGTAAATTATGCCCCTATTTTACAACTATCCTTACCCTTATGATCAACCACGTGAGACGACACCGTTTTCTCGTGGAACAATTTACTTGCGACAACGCCAAAATTGAAGCTTATTACTGTAAAGATTGCGATTTTAAGACGGAACTAACAGTTTTGTTCAAAGAACACATTAATAAATATCATGGGCTTAAGAGAGAATCTAGAGACGATTTATTAAGTGAGGACTTCCACATACAAAATTACGTCTGCGAAAAATGCGACTTTGAAACAAATCTCTCGATAAAGTGGCTTCAGCATACTTTAACATGCACGAGAAATAAAGAAAATCCTCAAAGTGTGACTTCTTCGTCACAGAATGACACATACAGTTTCGATTTCAAGCGAACTGACGAAACAAGTTGGTATTACTGTGTGCAATGTTCCTACAAAGCTAAACTCAAAGGTACTTTAAAATCTCATATTATGAGAAAACACGAGATGAACAAGCGATATGCATGCGAGAAATGTCCATTTAAATGTAGATGGAAATCACTTTTAAAAATACACATAAATCGAATTCACTTAGATGAACAAGATGTTGAATGGCATAAGTGCAATAAGTGTGTATTCAAGGCCAAAGCAAAAAGTAATTTAAGGAGCCATGTAAAAAGACGTCACTTGAACGATGAAGACGTTATATGGTATAAATGCAATGAGTGTGTTTTTAAAAGTAAAGCTAAAGGTGATCTAAAAAAACACGCAATTAGAAAACATCTAGACGAAGAAAAAATTAACTGGCACGAATGTGAACAATGCCCATTTAAAGGTAAATGTGCGTGGGATTTAAAAAGCCATATTGTTTTTAGACATTTGGATGAAGAAAACGTTAAGTGGCATCAGTGTCATTATTGTCCATATAAGGCGAAATCCAATGCTATTTTAAAGTCCCATATAAATCATCGCCATTTGGATGAAACTGAAATTAAATGGTACAAATGCAATGAGTGTTCTTTCAGAACGAAATATAAACATTATCTAAAGAAACACGCAATTACAAAACATCTAGATGAAGAAAAAATTAACTGGCACGGATGTGAAAAATGCCCATATAAAACTAAATATGCGTCGAATTTAAAAAAGCATAAGATGTTTAAACATTTGGATCAAGAAAACATTAAGTGATATCAATGTGTTCATTGTTCATTTAAGACGAAATTCAATGCTACTCTGAAGTGCCATATAAATTACCGCCATTTGGATGAAACTGAAGCTAAATGGTACAAATGCGAACACTGCCTTTACAAGAGTAAAAATCATTCATCTTTTTATTCGCACAGAAAGGAACAAATTGGGATTTAATTAACCATAAGCCGGAAAGAAATTTTAATTTGTATACATATGTTGTTTGTTAGCCACTACTTTTTTTTAACCACTTATTCAGTCGTCTACAATGTACTATGTTATGTGACTTGATTTTTTCATTAAGATCATAAATTAAAGTTCTATTTTTGTTACATTAAATAAATGTAACAGTTTTAAAAAATAAAATTACATTAGTAGAACACATAGATGCAAAGTTTGTTACGCAATTACAAAATAAGGAATTATCCTAAAATTTATTATTGTTTCAATTTAGGATCTAAATATCTTGGGTCTCTCGAGGAACACAGAGGGTGGATGGACCTTGTTGGCAGTTTGCACTAAGAACGCAGCAAGGTTGATTGGTGGACTCTTAAGGTGTTGTGTCTTCAGATCAGGCTGCTTTTTTCCTTCTTCCAAGTCTTCAATGATATCTTGAGTCTGGACCAGGTGTTCTTTATTTATTGTTAATAGTTTATGTATTTTTGGTGGAGCCAAATTTGCCGCCATCGGACTAGAGTATCTGGCTCTAACCGGTAGTGTTGCTGTTCTTCTAAATGTCAGTGGATTTTGTTTTGGTCTCTATGTTCTCTCCCGATTTGAACTGGTTTCTGGTCGATCGGTTTTTCCAATTTTCTGGCTTGACTTTTCTTTCTTTAATCCTGGAAATTGTCCCTTCAATTGTTCTGCAGTTTGTGCTTTGTATCTAATACGATTGGCACATTTTTGTATTAGAAACTTGACAGTATTTTTCCCATTCAGAATTCAAATTTTCTTGTGATATTTACTAGTGAATCTAGCTCGGTTCTCTTTATATGTATGATTTGGTTTGATGAGCGTCCAAACTAATTAATTTGATCAGGTGATCCTTATTTGGTAAAATTATTGGTACTCTTGAGTGTACGCAAAAAGCCATTGTTTCAGTCTTTTTATAATAGACATAAAATTGACAGTTTCTTCGTCTTTTTATTTACCTTCTTTTTCCGTAGTGTACTTAAGTCTTATGTCTTAAACACGTCTTCTTGTATGTGTATTATAATTTGCTTGGATTCTTTCCACAACTATTGTCCAACTTATGTTTTTTGTATCGGCATGACGCGAACTGTTTTCATGAGTAAGGAATATCTTGTTCTCACTTTGACTGACCGAGTTTGATTAAATAATTTCACTTCTTCGGACAACCGCGGTAACTGGTTGGTTTCTCTCTTTTTATACGTCCAGGTCTTTGGCATCAAATTTTCTGTTCTCTTTGTTTCGATGTTTTTGTTTCGCTGGAATGTTTTTTTCGTGGTTTTTTTGCATTAATTTTTCATTACTGAGGATTTGTCGCAATGCTGGTGTCTCTTCGATTTTCCCCAATTTTGCAGATTGCTGATCTTCTATTTTTGGGATCATAGTTTTTATATTCTCCCGCGCCTAGTAATACATCAGTTGCACCCTTTTTTGGAAGGCTGGATCGTCTTGATGCAAGTCGGCCTCACCGGAAGATAAATTTCGATGTCTTCTAACACAGATTGTGTAATTTTTGGTAATACTAACAGTTCTGTTTTGAGTGTAATATCACTTGGAAATAGTGATTCCTGTAAAATAAAAACGTAGGTTCATGAAAATTAACTGGGCAACCGACAGCGATAAATGAGGATAAACTTTTCAAATTGTACCTCAACTTAAAAATACCAGGACATTTCGGTAGAATTCTTGCTTAGAACAACCAGTAATTAAGACATCCTAATCCGAACTGGAGACATTCCATTTATTGGTATATTGAATAGGCCGTATCCTGCTTAAATTTATCTTAATTGTCCGCTATGTAACTCTTCAGGTAGCATCTTTCTAGCAGCTACTCATTTTGTCATTTAGTCGTTTCATTCTTAATTTTGTCAGTCCTTATTTTGGTGCTGCATGGCAAGTGAACTTCAAATCCAAAATGTCAAAAGAATTTACAAATGTCACGGCTGGATAAAAAAGAACCCTGAACTAGTGTTAATTAGATAAAAATTCTCAATATTCTTACGAAATAAACCCATAGACCACCCAGGTCCGACGCCTATGGACCGTCGAGAAGTTTTTAGTATGAACGGCCATGATAATGGTGACTCATCATTGGTGACGCGGCTCAGCGACGTTCGAAAAGCCTGGAAGCGGAAGTCGCGAATACCTAATTCGAGAAAAACCTCGATCGTCGAAGTGTGGGTTCAAACAGAGGCCGCCTTCGGGAACGATTATTATTCAGTCAGCGAGTCCACAGCAAGTCGAGTCGAGTGAACCCCGGAGTTATTCTGTACATAATTGCTGTAATAAATAGTTAGTCGTGTAACTCCGATTTTATTCACCAATCAACGTAATAATATGTATTTTTCGGGGTGTGCTGAAAAAAGGTAAGTAAGGTATCCAAATTTTTATCATTGTTATATTTTTGAATTTGTCACATTTATTTTTCTTAGTTCCAGTTTCAAACAATTGGTTTAATCTATTGATATGTTATTCCTTTCAATTAAACGCGCGAAGTAAAGTATGCACAATATGAATTCATTTTGTTGTTCAGGTGAAACAAAGTTTTGGATAATTCAACATATTGGGACAAGTTTCCACAAAATTAAGCTAAAGAATTCTACTAATGTGAACTCACAAAGTCTGCTCGCAGGAACTTTCTCCAACATCCAGAAGATGACAGCTTAACAAGAATATTGTTTCGAATTGTGTGAGATATTCCTTTATCAAAACTGAATAATCGCAAGTTATGATCATTTCTTAAAAAGCATACCACGAAGTCAGTTCCCGATGAAAGTACCTTCAGAGAAAACTACGTCTACAAAGTGTTTCAAAAAAAAGCAGGTTATTCGTCAAATTATAGCCGATAATTTATTTTCAGGTCTATGAAACAACCGATTCATGATGACGTTGTGCCGCAGATTTGTTAATTAGAACTTTGACCAATAAAAATGTGGTACTTAACATTTGATTAGCACAAAAGCTTTGGAAAAGACAGATAATAACACCATTGCAAGGTGATTCATGAAGGTTTAACGAACTTTTTTTTTCCGGAACCAGTTCCAGTTGAGAAAATCATATTAATGTCATCACATGTTGCTACATACATGTGTAAAGCTTTATTCAACCTCAAAATATTTTCTCCCCGCTTATTCCATATTACGGAGTACATGCGTAGCTCATGATATATATAGAGTGGCTGAGGAAATTAGAAATTTATTTCCAATAGTAAATGACTTACAACAATGTTAAAAAAATTTCAGCTTTGCGAGGACAACTTTATAGAAGTGCCTCTTCGCCTGCCTGGAGAATTCCTGGGCCTGGTTAAGTAGCGAAAATATAACATCAACATAACGTCTCTATGCCAATTTCCGCTTCAAGCAACTATAATGGCGACATAACAATGATACGACTTTGTTGTTCTTTTGTTATATTCTCGCTATGTACATATTACAAGATTGTGGATCTATAAGAGGGCGCTGAGTGTTACATCTCAGAACACAGAAAGAAAAATCTAACAGTATTATATCCCATAGTTATATTACTGTTGTGTTTAACGTTACAAAAAATGTAACATTACGGTTACATAACATCAGTATAATAATGTTATGTAACACTGTTATGATGACGTCATGTTGCAGTTGTATAAAATTATAACAAAATTTATTGCTGTTACATAACAGTGTTAATGGAGCACTAATATTACGTAAGTGTAACGGTACTATATAACACTATGGTCGTGACGTTATGTTGCAATTATATAAGAAAAATATAGCAAAATTTGTTGTTGTTATATAACACTGTAATAGTGAAGTTGCATTACATAAGTGTAACAGTATTATATAATATTGTGATGGTAATATTATGTTGGAGTTAACTATGAAAGTTAGAAAAAAATGGTTTTCATTATGCCGGTTCTCTGGAAAATGGCAGATTAACTCTTCACTAGGCTCTTAACAATCAACTGGTGAGTCTGGGAAAAATAGTAATAAATGTATAAGAACGGATCCTTGTTTCAATCTTCTTTCTATAAATTTTGGAATTAAAAATATCTAAACGCTTAATTTTTCACATTAAACAAATATAGTACTACAAAATTAAAATGCATAATAACACAATTTTTCTCAATGAAGTCAAAATGATACAGTGGGGAGTGAGATGAGTGTACCTGTTCACTGTCACCTGGTTGAGTTTCCACGTCGATTGTTCTGTCATTAGCTGTTACAGTTTTTGAAGTTATATGGAGCGAGTATATTCATTCACTTATTATAGTGGAAGAAGACGGTTTTAGTCAACCAAAATATTAGTTTTGGAGAAGTCAGAAGTTTTTAGAACATGGGGAAGATCTTCACGGAAAAACGTTCACATATATAAAAAATATCCCTATCTTATAACGTGAAATTTTATTAATACGACAGGACGTCACAACAAACTTAAAGTGGGGAATAGCATGCACCATGAGCCTACCCATTTATTGTACTATGTTTGCCCCTCCATGTTTACTGTTCTATGATGGGTCGTTTCAATTCCTAAGGTTATGTACCGGAAGTTGCACTGGCGGTTTTAATTAATCCGGTTATGTCCATCCAAATTACACGTGTGTGGAGAAATTTTTAATCCTTTCCCGTTTTATGACGAGATTTGGGTAAGAAAAATGCCATTATTCTTCCTTAATGTAATAAACCGGTTTTAGGTACTCAAAATGTCAAGTTTGGAATACTGTGAAGCAATCGCAACAGGTAGGAGTTCTTCTTGGAAAAACGTCCACAACTGTGAATTATGCTCCTACTTTACACTATCATTCTTTCTTATGACGAACCACATGAGGCGACATCGTTCTTGTCTGGAAAAATTTTCGTGCGAAAACACTAAAATTGAAGTGTATTACTGTAAGGATTGTGATTTTAAAACAGAACTAACGATTTTGTTCAAACAACACATTAATGAAGATCACGGCCTTAAGAGAAAATTTAGAAAGGATTTATCAAGTGAAGACTTCTGCATACGAAGCTACCTTTGCGAAAAATGCAACTTCGAAACAAATTTCTCATTAAAGTGGTTTGAGCATACTTCAGTATGCACGGGGACGAAAGAAAATCTTCAAAATGTGAGTTTTGTGAAAGAGAATGTGATATACAGTTTTGATTCCGAGCAAACTGACAAAACACGTTGGTATTACTGCACCGAATGTTCCTACAAAAGCAAAGTCAAACGTAATTTCAAACGTCATGTTATAAGAAATCATAATTCGAATAAGCGATATGCATGTGACAAGTGTCCGTATAAAACTAAAGATAAATCAAATTTGAAAAGGCACATAAATCTGCGCCATGTAGATGAACAAAAAGTTGAATGGCACAATTGCCAAAATTGTCCATTCAAGACCAAATTAAAAAGTAGCTTATTTAGACACATAAAGAACTTACACTTGAACAACAAAAACGTCAGGTGGTATGAATGCAATGAGTGTTCTTTCAAAACTAAGCGTAAAGAAAACTTAAACATACACGTAACTGTAAAACATCTAGACGAAGAAAAAATTAAGTGGCACAAATGTGAAAATTGTTCATACAAATGTAATCATGCATCGAGTTTAAAACGTCATGTCATTCATCAACATTTGAAGGAAGGAGAAGTTAAGTGGTACGAATGTAACGATTGTTCATACAAAAGTAAAATGAAAGAAGATTTAAAAAAGCATGGAACTGTCCATTTGGAGATCAAACCGTATCAGTGCGATTATTGTCCATTTAAGACAAAACACCCGCATAGTTTAAAGCGTCATATAAATAACCACCATTACGATAGAATTGAAGCTAAGTAGTACAAATGCAAACAGTGTCTTTACAACACAAATAAAACACTTGCCATATTTATCTGAGTTGTAGTTGCGTGCGTGGTGCTAGTAAAGTGAATGTATATAATTGTATATTTTATTGTGCTAGTAGTTTTTTTCAGCATTTGTGTAAGCACTCTATGTTTTATATTTTGTGACAATCTTTTTTTTTTAAATCGTGAGAAAAAACGAATTTAATCTTTAATTACTTTACATGAAATACCTCGAGTAAATACACAGCTTGCAAAAAGTAAAAATGCGTTATTTGAAGACATACATACATTATTTGCCAAAATAAAAAAATGCAGCAACACTCCATTGTTTTTTGAAAATACAACTGACAAGACCGTAGTATTTGATATGAGGTTTGACATGAGGGAGAAATGATTGTACCGCCGCAGCAAGTGTGCAAAAATAGCATTTATTTCCAATTGCAGCGTGTGTGCAGTCTGGAAGCGCGGAGTGTACAAAATACTTCCATTTACCATGGTGATTCACTGGTGTAGCTTGTCGACAAACTTGCAATTGTCCATACCCGTTTCATTCGTTATGAAGGAGAATTCTCCAGGGATGCGTAGTTGATGGTGATACTGATAAGTTAGTCGGCTGGTGGGCATTAGAGGTCATTCTTGATTGATGTCCGCAGGCCTAATAAGATTATGATTAGTACGTTATCCCAGCTATGAGATATCATTTTTTAATCATCCCACTGTATTGCGGCTAATAGGGTGTAGTTTTGGCAATCTTTTCGGCATTCGGCAACGGCCGCAGGGACGCCATTCACCAAGTGCTTTCTTCTTCATCATGTAGGGGACTGCCCAAGGAACTCTTAGAGGTGTGATACTAGCCTAAAGCTAGCAGATACTGAAATGGAGCTTTGGCAGCTTAGAGTAGACGTGGTGCTTTCGTAAAGTTCAAATACTCAGCCAAACGATTATGGTTCATTTGATGTAAATTTTTTGACATTACATACACAAAATATATATAACGTTGTTAAAAAATAAACATATATTATTAAAACTCATGACATAGTGTATAATAATGTGGCAGAAAATTGAAATATGGAATGGGCCATGTCGTAATTCACTTTACTTGGAACGAGTACACCTGTGCGTTGTTTCCCGGATGATCTCTCACATCTATTTTTTGGCCGCAGACTGTGTCATAGATGTTTAAACAAATTTTTAAAAAGCCTGGCTTTGTGAACGATTTAAAAAATCTGCTCAGTAAAGTGATAAAACATGGCCTAATAGAATATAGGTATAATTAAAAAATAAATAGAAACTGCGCAGTTTTTAATTTTGATCTTCATTATCATTAAGTAATTAATACATACCAGTTTCAAGAAATATGTATGTTCCAACACTATGACAATGTGGAACGAAAAATTGCAGAATATTTTAAGTTGTTTGTAAAATCCAACATATTGCACGATCTTGCCAGATTCCAGTTCTTAAACACATCCGTACAATTTATACATATTAAGAAGAAACATTCTTAAAGCAAAAATATTATGACAAAATAAAACTATTTATTCTAATTTGAAACTAAAACTTAACAATAGATCCAAAGATCTAACAATTTTCCAAAAACCAACTGTTGTACCTACTTATCAATCTTTACCTGCCCTAACCGATATTTTATAATCCCCTCTTGTTTATGGGTACTAATAAATGACCAACACAGCTGTACCGACATTTATTATTAACAATAGTCGGTATAATCCGTAAGCTTCTGAAAATTTAATAAATTAATGTTCCAATGAAGTTGTGTTGCTAAAGTTAAAACTGAATTTAACGATTACAAAGTAAAATTAGATAAATACTAGGCGGTCAGTTTTTAATAATAGAAAGCAAACCTGGCAACACAGGTAGCTGCGACACACGTTAATCACGTGACATAGTGAAAGGCGCAGTTGCCATTTGAGTTATTAATGTAAATATACAGATCCCATTTAAAAGTCCACCTACATCTTATGAACGGATGGAGAAATTGAAGTTGTTTGTAATACAGGACCACCATTATTGTTTTTAAACAGTTCGAAAAAGACACTCGGGATCACTGACATTCCTTCGATTTCTAAAAAAAGGCACTCAGAGTGCCCGAGATTCTTTAAAATTCCTTGAAGTAAAACACAATCGGAGCCCCCTAGATTTTTGTTAATTAATAAAAAAACCGAATATCCATTAAACCATTTTGTGTAAAAAATTTGAATAGTCTAACACGAAAAAGCTTCTAACATATCAAAAAGGAAATTTTTTAAACAGAATATGTTGCGACAAAATAATTACTTGATTTATAATTTTATTAACTGGCTGATGGCCTACGCTTGAAAATGTTTTTTTTTTTATAACAAAGTTAAGATTAAAACTTCATTTTTGTCTTCTTCTTAAATTTATTTCATTGGACGTTTCGGCAAGATGTCCTTTGCCTTTTTCAACCTGTCGGTTACAAAATCAGAATAAGGTTATGTATATTACTTTCCCTTACAATTATTCGTCCATGAACATTGTACATGGATTTTTTTTTAACTAAAAAAAATTGATAAAAACAAATAAAAACAAATTTTTCAAGCGTAGGCCAGCAGCCAATTGATAAAATTACAAATCAAGTAAAATCATACTGGCCAAAAACGAAATTAGCAATGAATAAAAAAATCATTACAACAACAGCTTTTCATTTAAGTATAACATTCTTTTTATTTTACGATTCTAAGATTGTGGCATTTGCAGGCCCAAGGGTTAACCCCGTCCGGCAAACACCCCACCACTGTTTACGTCCGGGGGCTGAAGGTATATAAACAACCTCCCTTTATCGTCCTTTCATTATGTCCGAGCTTTCCGAGCTGTGAAGTTGGACAAGTGTTACAATGGACGGATCTTCTGGTAAGTACTTTGACTTTAAACTATTTTATTTTTTGTTTTTAAAGCATGCACTAATATCTATTTTCTTCATTTCAGGAAGCGACTTCGCCACCGCTGGCCCTTCGAAGAAGCGGTCCTTCGACTGCGTCTCTCCCGCTGAGACGCAAGAGGAGAGGCCGCCGAAACGGAGACCCCAATCCATCCATCCTCAACCTCCTCGTTCTCCTTCGCCTATAATTCCCCCTTTTATTGTTCCATATTTCATCCCCAATCCTGTTGACAACATTCCTATTCCCCACATCCCCACACCTGCCCACCTCGATCCCTCGCGAAGATTTCGCCCAAGGGTGCCAGCCCACTCGAGGGCTGTGAAGACCCTGCTGCCGCTCTTCATCGCTCAGGCGCCGTCATCTCAGAAGGTATGTATTAATTTCGTGTTATTTTGGATGTAATGGACTAATAGACATTTGTTTTGCAGACTGTGCCGCCAGGGACGGAGCTGCCGCCTCTCCCCGACATGGACGACGGCCTCAAGCCACTGTCGGAGTATCAGGCTTTCTGCGTGTGGAGGGCCCAATGGGAGAGGCAATACTACCAGGAACGGAGGCTGACCCATCGAACCCTCGATGCGGCTCTGTTCCTGCATAGTTATTGCCTCAGCTTGGACGGTGGCTTTAGGTTAGTGTAGGTTAGGTTATGTTAGGTTTACATGTATATATAGTTATAGGTTAGGTTAGTTTAGTTTAGTTATATGTGTATATATAATTATAGGTTAGGTTAGTTTAGTTTAGTTATTTGTGTATATATAGTTATAGGTTAGGTTAGGTTAGTTTAGTTAAATGTGTATATATAGTTATAAGTTAGGTTAGTTTAGTTTGATGTATATATAAATATCGGTTATTTTAACTTAGTTTTATGTGTATATATAGTTATAGGTTAGGTTTTTAGTTTTATGTGTATATACAGTTTTAGGTTAGGTTATTTTAGTTTTAGTTGTACATAATGCACATAAATATTTTTAATATGTTTATTAAAATCTGCAAACAAAAATTTTTTTTTTCTTATAACATAACCACATTTTTTTCTGGTTTAAATTGTCGGAGATTTCGGAACTACTATGACTACGTGGCGTTGCACCGAAATAGAAATCATTGTTGCCATTTCACCTAAATATCCAGTTCCAGTTAAAACTCGGCGATCACGATATTGAAATTCTGTGAACGATATTGTTTTTAGTAAGTTGCAGATATGACGCACATAGTTATTTATTTCATTTTTAATTGAATTAAAATTATATACAAAATGATGAAAGTTGAGTGAAATTAACAAATAAGTATCACTATTACACGGCAGTTCGTACATAGGGTAAAACAGCTGCTTTTAAAACAGATTTTGTTGAAAATAATTTCAAAGGCCTCCACTGTCGGATTCAATATATGATTGTTTTCCGGGTTGGGACCATGTCAAATGAGTTCTTGGGCTCAACGTTTCGCACACTTTCGTAAGTGGCATCGTCAGGAGCAGGGTTGAGAAATTCGGAAGAAGACAAAAGAACACGGCAACTCAGTATGTCAACCAAACCTTTTGAGGAGAGTTTCGCCTGTGGCATAATTTACATACTGAGTTACCGAGAAGAAAAATTCTTAAAGCAAAAATATTATGATAAAATAAAACTATTTAATCTAATGTAAAACTAAAAGAAAATACTAGATCCAAAGATGTAACAATTTTCTAAAAACCAACTGTTTTATTTGTCAACCTTTACCTGCGCTTATCGATATTTTATAATCCCCTGTTTTTCGTCGGTACTCGATTACGAGGATAATAAATGATCAGCACAGCTGTACATACCAACATTTATTAACAATATAAGGACTCGGCTAAAATTCTTCCTTCGCTTATGCTCAGGAAGTAATAAACATAAAACATCGGAGGTTCCCGAGATTATTTCGCATTTTTTAAAAACCGTACTCCGGGTTTGTATACACTCAAAAATCGCGATACCATGGAACCTCTAGATTTGCTTTAGATTTGCAGTAATTTTGTGTAAAAATTAAAGATTTTCTAAAACAAAAAACTTCAAACATATTAAGATGATAAATTCTTAAAATGAAAAGATTGTGA